TTCCTGTTAAGAGGACTGTCCATCCATCAGAGCTCATCCTTTCCTCTGATCATTGATTCCTCTATCAAACTCATCCCAATAGAAAGAGCAGTTTAATAGAGGAACTGAGTCTGAACCTGCCTTCCTGTAACTTACATCTATTATTCTGAGACCTACACTTGGGGTTCTAGAGAACAGACCTTCACATTCTATATATCACCCTTTCAGGTACCCTTTCCCAATCTCCTGTCCTTTACTTACTTTGAGAAGTATTCACAACCAAAAGATGTACCCCAAAGCACTTTCCTACTCATCCTTTCTACAAAGTATCGAAGTGGATCTCCTACTAGAGCAGGAATGGGCCACTTATAGCCCTATTTTGACCTGTGAACTTCAACTCCCAGAATTCCTGATCCAGTCATGCTGGCTAAGGAATTTTGGGAGTTGAAGTCCATAGATCATAAAGAGGCTATATTTGCCCACCCCTATACTAGAGGATCCTACTGGAGGCAACATGCAGTCATCAGAGTTAAAAACATTCATAGAAGTCTACTGCATATGTTGGTTTATTCTTCTTGCAATGCTATGAAGTTCTGGGATGATGCCTATTATCCGGTCATTCCATATATACTGCACAAAGCTTCTATCATCCCCAGCCCTTCTGCCTTTTGTGCATTTCAATTATTAATTCTAAGCTACTGGTGGTTTGGGAATCTCTAGAAACGAAACTTCAAGGAAATGTAACAAACCAACTTTCCAATATTCCTTCTCTTGCGCCATCTTCCTGACAATAGAATTTACCTTTCTGCAGCTGAATTCCAGCCATCAAAGACTCTGAGGGAAAAGAGAGAGAGAGAGAGAGAGAGAGAGAGAACTTGTAACACTATCACAGGGGTGTCAAACTCAATTTCACTGAGGGCCGCTTCAACATTGCGGTTGCCCTTGGGGGGGTCGGGGGTGTGTGGCCAGAGTGGGTGCAGCCTACTGGGTGGGCGTGGATGGAGTGGGTGTGGCCTACTGGGTGGGCATGGCCAGCTCTACATTGTTCCATCAAGGGTGCCTGTGGGGGCCTGGGCAGGAGTGGGACAGATCTGAGGGTCTCTGGCAGAAGGGGGTGGGACTGGGGCAAGTGCCAAAGTGTGGTCCACTGGGCCAAATGCCAAGATGGCCAGCACAAAATTGTACATTGGCTCCCAGCTGGCCTGGGCCAGGGCCAAGGCAGTGGGGGCCGTTCCCTCACTGTTTCCAGGATGGCTTCGTGGGCCACATGAAACCACTTCGCGGGCCGCATCCGGCCCCCGAGCCTTGTGTTTGACATGTCTGCACTATCATAAACCCAGGAAGAACAAAAGCAGCTTATACAACAACATTGCATGCTAGGGAAATGTTAAGTAGTAACCAACAAGAATTTGGCAGGAAGGCAGTACGCTTTCCTGTTATGAATCTAGTTATCGGATTCTAATAATCTGTAATAGCCAATATAAATTAATAACTTGTTTTAGAGGAAGGAAAGGAAAAAAGTAAGGAAGGGAATGGAAGGGAAGGGAAGGGAAAGGAAGGGAAGGGAAGGGAAGGGAAGGGAAGGGGGAAAGGGGAAGGGGAAGGGGAAGGGGAAGGGGAAAGGGAAAGGGAAAGGGAAAGAAAGGAAAGGAAAGGAAAGGAAAGGAAAGGAAAGGAAAGGAAAGGAAAGGAAAGGAAAGGAAAGGAAAGGAAAGGAAAGAGGTAGCCTACCAACATTTGTTTTCCACAAGGATATCTGGTAGGGGAGTGTCAAGATAGCAGCAGTGATCTTGTGAGCAAAGTTATGTTCTTTTTTTTACACATGCCCCCCCATGTCTCTGACAGACACCCCTGTTTTGGACCCAATCATGTGAAACACCACAGAAGCATCAATTCTACATTACCATTGAATATCTTCCCAGCATTTTCCAGAAAAGGATTTATATCACAGAAATCCCAGGACCTCCATTTCAGTTCAAGAGGAAAAGCAACTGGGTTTTCAAGTGCTTTGTCATATCTAGGGGACAGAAACAAAATAGACATATGGAAGAGTTCCAATCTGCAGCTCGAAGCCCTCACTGGCAATGGGAATGGTTTGGAAAATATTTGGCACAAAGGAAAGGGGTGCTTAAGGGTTTAGAGAAATCTTATTTTGCAGAAAGCAGCACCATTGATATTATAGGCCAATGATGGCGAACCTTTTAGAAACCGAGTGCCCAAACTGCAACCCAAAACCCACTTATTTATCGCAAAGTGCCAGGGCTGCATCAGCATTGTGGTGCCCTCAGGGGGGGCATGGGGGCATGGTCCACTGGGTAAGCATGGTTGCAGTGGTCACGGCAGACTGGGTGAGTGTGGCTGGGGCCAGGGCGGCAGGGGCCGGTCCCTCGCCATCTCCGGGGCATCCCCGGGGGGCCAACACCACTTGCTCACTCACTTCCTGCCCTGTCATTTCCAAACGCCACGTGCTCGTTACTCTAGCGAACTCTGCTGGGGCAACAGTGCGCGTGCCCACAGAGAAGGCTCTGAGTGCCGCCTCTGGCACGCGTGCCATAGGTTCGCCACCACTGTTATAGGCAAAGATGCTAAACATGCTAAAAAAAATGATAGTATCAACAACTTACAAGAAAATGAGTTGAAATGGCTTAGAAGATGGTTGAGGTCCTTCAGATAGGCAGCTCTGATGGCAAAAGGGCTGTCATATGTCTCTCCTTACTATATTACTGACATTTATTAGATACATAGGAGAGGAGGTGCAGGCACTGTTTTTCAGATCAAGATCGTTTGAATGGCTTAGTGGAGGTCACAGACCAAAAGGTAAGCAGGGCCAAATAAAAATCATGTAACATTTAATTACAAATAAGTTCTCCCCAACCTAGAACCAGTTTGGTATAGGGCAGTGGTGGCGAACCTATGGCACGGGTGCCAGAGGTGGCACTCAGAGCCCTCTCTGTGGGCACGCACGCTGTCGCCCCAGTCCTAGGCCTCCAGCTGGGTTTTATAAAACCTTTTCACTTCAGGCCTCTGCCGTCGTGTGCAAAAAAAAAAAAAGGTTCAATCAGTCGATTTCAACTTCTCGCGGGGAAAAAAAAGATCTTGCAAAGTTGGAATTGATTGATTGAACTTTTTAGTCCTACCCAGTCTGCCATTACCACCTATTCTGAACCGTATAGATCCATGTAACCTCGTATAGCTCTATGTAACCCTAATGTTAGTAATAGGTCAGGGGGAGGAGTTTCCAAAGGGCATTGAGAGACTCCCTGGACACTAGCCACATGGGAGTTCTTTTGTTCATCTTGTGAATGGCATCCAGCCACACGGCTGGAGATCCCACAATCATCCCACCATGTGACACTTGGGCAGAAGAGGGGAAAATCCAACATTAATTTACCTATGGGAATGAACAGAGAGATATTAAGCCAGGAATAACCTCGTGGACCCAGATATTTCTTCTGCAATAAACGTTTATCTGTTTTAAAATCATTTCTATTGAGTGGTCTGTCTGCCTTAGATTGGACAGAGAAGCAAGTTGTCCTGTCTAGGTCAGAACAGTAAATTAATGTTGGATTTTCCCCTCTTCTGCCCAAGCGTCACATGGTGGGATGATTGTGGGATCTCCAGCCGTGTGGCTGGATGCCATTCGCAAGATGAACACCCAGAACACCACCGCAGCCACGCCCACCCAATGGGCCACACCCACCCGGCACTCGACAATGCATAAGTGGGTTTTGGGTTGCAGTTTGGGCACTCGGTCTCTAAAAGGTTCGCCATTACTGGTATAGTGGTTAAGATACCAAGCAAGAAACCGGGAGATGGTGAGTTCTAGACCCACCTTAGGTGCAAAGCCAGTTGGGGGAACCTGACCAGTTCCTCGCTCCCAGTCCTAGGGAGAAAAAGGCAAAAGCAAACCACTTCTAAAATCTTGCCAAGAAAATTGCTTTGTCCAGGCACTTGCCAGGCATCAAGACTGACTTGAAGGGACCAAAAGAAAAACAAAACAAAGGGAAAAAAAGATCAGAGAGTTTAGCACTATATCAAAACTTGATCTAATGTTCTGCCCAGGTGGGTATAAAAGAGGCCCTGATTATCAATATAGTTTTGGGCATGTGTTTAATGCTATCCTAGAGCAGCATCTGCAGACAAAAACCAAAGTTTTTCTCCAATATTAAGTAAATAGAAGGCTGCAACCTAAAATAGGGACGGGAAGAATATTTGCTTCAAAAAAAAGTGTTTTTAAGTGAAGAGGAAAAAAAGAACACTCTTATTAGGAGGAAGGTAACAAATGGATGGTCAGCTGCAGCAGAGCTGTCGTTTCAGGTTATGGTTCTCTCCTTTTATTTATCTTTTTCACACACGCATTTTTAAAAATCGCTCTTTTTTTCAATTGAAAAATAAAGGGAGAGTGGAATTCCACACTTCCCACACAAAAGGAGCCTGGAAAGCCATGTTTTCCATGTGCTTCAACTCCCACTTTTTCCTTTTATTGACCATGCCTGCTATTGGTTGACTGGATTTGAAGTCCAAAATATCAGGAGGGTGCCCTATTTTCTGCTACATGGTCTTAGAAAGGATGGGAGGAAATGAGCAGGATCCACTTACCTCTGCATGTTGCCTTTAAAATCCTACGAAGAAAAGAAACAGAGATCTCACTCTTTGCAATTGACTAAAGCAGGGGTAGTCAACCTTGGCTCTTTTATGACTCGTGGACTTCAATTCCCAGAATTCCTGAGCCAGATTCTGGGAGTTGAAGTCCATGAGTCATAAAAGAGCCAAGGTTGACTACCCCTGGACTAAAGTAAGAAGGGTGCTTAAGCCCTCATAGATCTCCAAACTTGCCCACTTTAAGACTTGTGGACAACAACTCCCAGAAAGTCCAGTTGCCTCCTGAAAAAGCACCTTTGGGAACAACCAGGACCTGGATGACTGAGAACCTCCGTAGACATTTAGGGAAGTGAAGGTGTCCCATTAAGGTTCTGAGCTGGTTCTCCTCTGGTGGAGAGCCAGGCTACTTTTAAAACCATCTTACCATTAAGAACTCCACAGCTGGCTGCTCACACACCTCCTGCATCTCCCTAATGATACTTTTAAGTATGGTGCGTTCCTTTGAAAGCCCCTCCAGGTATTCTGTCTTGGTTTTTTGAAAATCCTTCTCCACCATTTTCATTCGGTTCTGCAGTTGTTTTTCCTGTTTATGCAGAAAATCATGTAGTTGTTTGAACACATTGTCTAACTTCTCCCTCTCATCGTCCATTTGTCCCTTTAATGAGGAAGAGAGAAGAAAAAAAGGCAAGGTCAGGTTCACCACCTTTTGGGATAAGATTGATAATTAGCTGGTTTTCCAAAATTCAGAATTAGCAAGACTTACAAGCAACTCGGCGATTTCCTTTTCTGCATCTGAAGGATGAGCCTCCATTAAATCCTTCTTTTCCTCCAGAAGCATAATCCTGCTCCGTAGCTGGTCCTGAAAGAGAAAAAGTGGGTCATATTTCAAACATGATCCCCAATTTTACAAGTTTATTTACTTATCCATCAGAATCAGGATCTTTCTTTGCACCAAAAAGTAGAACTGTTCAAAACACTAGCTGCCTGTATCTCTCATGAATGAAAGCAAATATTTGTGTCCCAGAATAATAACAATAGCACTTAGACTTATATACTGCTTCACAGTGCTTTACAGCCCTCTCTAAGTAGTTTTACAGGATCAGCAATCTGGGCCCTCATTTTATGATCTTGGAAGAATGGAAGGCTGAATCAACCTTGAATTGGTCAGGATCGAACTCCTGGCAGTCGGCAGAGTTAGCCTGCAATACTGCATTCTAACCACTGCACCACCATAGCTCTATTTACGTTGCATTATCTTATAAATAGAGAGAGAATGGAGAGAGAAAGAAATTTCCTGAGGATGGGCTCCAGCACAAGGATGAAAACTCGGAAGAATAAACCTCTGGTCCCAGTGACCGACTCAGATTGGATCCTGCAAAAAGTAGACTTTTGCAATCTGCCTACCTTAGTATTTTCAGTTATTCAGCAACACCTCAAACTCACATACTGCTGTTCTTTCCGAGTCTATCAAAAACTAATGTTCCATACAACCAAAAATGTAAGATTGGAAGAGATCCTGGAGAAGATCTAGTCCAGTATTTATCAACCTTGACAACTTGAAGATGTGTGGACTTCAAATCCCAGAATTCCCCAGCCAAAGTGCTGACCAGAATAGGAACCCACTACAGGTATTTTTCAATTTACGGCCATAATGGAGCCCAAAATTTTTGTTGCTAAGTGAGACATTTGTTAAGTGAGTTTTGCCACATTTTAGCACCTTTCTTGCCACAGTTGTTAAGTGAATCACTGTATCTGCTAAGTTAGTAACCCAGTTCTTAAATGAATCTGGCTTCCCAATTGACTTTGCTTCTCAGAAGGTCGCAAAAGGTGATCACTTGACCCCAGGACACTGAAACTATCATAAATATGAACTAGTTACCAAGCATCTGAATTCTGATCACATGACCATGGGGATGCTGCAATGGTAGTAAGTGTGAAAAACAGTCATATGTCTCTTTTTTCAGTGCCGCTGTAACCTCAAATGGTCACTAAATGAACTGTTGTAAGTCGAGGACTGCCTGTACTATAATATCCCTGCAGATGGTCATCCAACCTCAGTTTAAACACTCCCAGGGGTAAACAGCTCATCATCTCCAGAGACATCTTCCATTGTCGAACAGCCCTTAATGTTAGGAAATTCTACGTGATGTCCAATTGAAATCTGCTTCCTTGAAATCAAAATCCTTGTTTCTTGTCTGGTCTTTTAGAGCAGGGCTTTTCAACCAGTGGTACGGGTACCACCTGTGGTACATTGGCACCTGGCAGGTGGTACGCAACCATCCTAGAAAAGTGGTAGCGGGGGAGGGGAATGAGCTGAACCAGTGGCAGCACCGCACAAGCTTGAGCGAGAGATGGCTGGAGCTGCAGGGCTGTCAGGGCTCAGCGGAAGCGCCAGGATCCAGCTGGAGCTCGGCGCTGATCCTGGTGCTTCTGCTGAGCCCTGAAGAAGCACCGATCAGCTGGAATGTTGCAGCATCTCCAGGGTCTTTTGATTTACATTCAGATGCTTGGCAACTGATTCATATTTATGATGGTCACAGTGTCCCAGGGTCATGTGAAGTGACCAAAACCTGCTGCAACCACCCAGCAGACTGGGGGAATAAAAACCAAACACACCCCACCCCACCCCTGCTGCCAATCCTCAACAGAAATGCTCACAAAAATGAAAACCTCAGACAGGAGGAAGAGCGGCAGGTATCTTGCTCAGCTGTGGCTTGGGGAGCACTTTTTTCAGTGCCATTGTAACTTCGAAACAGTCACTAAGTGAACTGTTGTAAGTTGAGGACTACCTGTACTTTATCACTCCCCCCCCTTTTTTTTGGTCATCAAGTTTTTGACACCTTGCTAGGCGACTGTTGGTACTCGGATGTTGCCATATCCTAAAAGTGGTACAATGGGTGAAAAGGTTGAAAAGCCCTGTTTTAGAGCAGCACTGAACAATTTTACCCTATCCACCTCATGACAGGCTCTCAGATACTTGAAGACCTTCTGACAGTCTCCTCTCCTCCTGGCTACTCACACTCTCCCAACCATTTTTTCCTAATTCCACACTGATTCCCTGTCTCTGTACAAACTTCTGAATACTTCCCCGGTGTCACTTTGCCCCATGACAGAAATAACACATCTAATTCCATTCTAAATAAAGCAAACTGTCTTGAAAGATGGTGGACTTTCCTTAGTGAAGTAAAGATATAGTTATTGTTCAGTGACAGGTTTTCTGCACTGATAAAAAAAATCAAATTAGATGACTTGGGGTTTCTTCCAGATCTATTATTCTGCAATTCTGTTTTGTCAATCCTGGCAAAAACCACCCTGTTACTGTCTGCCACATGGAATATACGACAGTTGCAGTGTGCCAGGGTCACACGGTCACCTTTTGCGACTTTCTGACAAGCAAAGTCAATGGGGAAGCCAGATTCACTTAAAACAACTGTGTTGTTAACAACTGCAGTGATTCACTTAACAACTGTGGCAAAAAGGTTGTAAAATGGGACAAAACTCACTGAACAACTGTCTCGCTTAGCGACAGAAATTTTGAGCTCAATTGTGGTCATAGGTTGAGGGCTACGTGTAGTATGGGTTTTTTTCTGTCATATTTCTTTCACTTTTTTCACATTAAAAAGAAATTTAAAAAATAAATAAGAAAGGAACCATGCAGTTGGAAAACAGCCAATCTTTTGACAGGCTGTAATATTTAAAAAAAAAAAAAAGGATGAACAGGCAGTGTTGCCTCCAGGCAGTTTCATGCAAAGAAACATACATGAAAGCCAAATCTCTGGAACGAGTGTCCAGACAAGATTTTCATCAGCTCCAGAGGAAAAGATGCCGATATGTAAACTGCATTTTAGAAGCAATATGCATCTGCCATTGAAAATCCAAAGATCCGTTAAACAGCGATTCCCTACCTTTAATGGTTGGGCAGCTTGTTTGGGAGAAATTACAGTGTGAGTTTTATGTTCCGATGACAGTTGACAAATGGCACATATCAGCTTCTCATCGTCTTGACAAAACAGATCCAGGGTCACCTTGTGTTTCGGACAGACAAATGATTTTTCTGGAAGTAATCTGAGTTTTTCTTCCCCACTGGGCTGCTGCAGGATTCGCCGGAGTTTTCCTTCAGGGATCGGCTCTTCGCAAATAGGGCAAAAAAAGAGCCCTTCCTTTTTCCGTTCCCGATAATGATCAGTGATGCAAGGCCGGCAGAAATTGTGACCACATTCTACAGATAGTGGATCTTTCACGTATTTGCTACACTGGTCACAAAATCCATCTTTTCTCTCAGGTGCAGCAGACGAGGCTGAGGCCATGACAGAGGGAGAATTCCCTCTCTGAATAGCAGCAACGAGCTACGAAAGGGAGCAAGGAATATTCAGTACCTATTTTTAAAACTGTTTTAGGGTAACTTTTACTTCAATAATTAAAGAGGTGGTCTTTTCTACAGATGGTGAGCAATCTGGGTATGAAAGGTACATTTCTCTCTTTTTAAACAGGATTTCAATAAATGAAATGATATTTTTCTTCTTATTTTGTCAAAAAAAAAACAACCCACCCATGCTACTGAATTTATGGGCATCTTTGCTCACGTGCTTAAATAAGCATGGAAGTGCTGGAGTCAGCTAGTCAATATATTTACTAGGCATACCAGCTAGTCCAGTAATGGCGAACCTTTTAGAGACCGAGTGTCCAAACTGCAACCCAAAACCCACTTATTTATTGCTGGGTGCCAGGTGGGCGTGGCTGTGGTGGTCATGGCAGATTGGGTGGGTGTGGCCAAGGTGGGCGTGATCACCTCGATGTTGCTCATGGGGAGAGATACTTGTGGGAACCGGGCAAGGTTGGGGGAGATGCAGGGGGTCTCTGGCAGGTGGGGCGGTGGGCAGGAGGCTCGTCCTGCATGGTGAGGCAAGGCAAGGTGAGGCGAGGCGAGGCAGGGTGGGGGTGCCATTGTCACAGGGCAAGGTGTGGCAGGGGCAGGGGCGGTTCCTGCCTGACACCATCGGCCCCTGCACACAGAGGCCAGCGAGCACATGGGTGCTGGGATGCATCCGGCCATGTGGGACCTCGGCGAGTTAACTAGCTGCTGGTTGAAGAGGGGCAGTTGCCATCTCCGGGGCATCACGTGCGTGCCCACACCATGAGCTAGTCACTTATTTTTTAATTGTAGGTATCCCAGAGTTGTTGGGAATTGGGAAGCTTATACACTGAATGTATGCAGGTATAAATAAATAAATGTTATGGGCTTCAGGAGAAAAGACTGAAGATGAAATATCTTTCTAGAGCATTCTTTTTATTCACTGACATGCAATGGATCCAAAACAAGAAGCCAATTGCTTAGAAACAGACAAAAAAAACCTACATCCTTACCTGTTACCTTGATGTGTAATATCATTACATTACAGATCATGAATCTTTGTGTTTAGAACAGTGTTTCTCAACCTTGGCAACTTTCAGATGTGTGGACTTCAACCCCCAGAATTCTATATTCTGAATTCTATATTCTGAATTCTGAATGCTGGTTGAGGAATTCTGGGAGTTGAGCTCCACACATTTGAAAGTTACCAAGGTTAAGAAACACTGGTTTGGCAGCTCCTTGTTGTCTCATGATATAAATGACTTGTTATTGCATCAATTGCCCTTTATTTTCATATTTGTAAATAATAGTAATATAGTAAATTGAACAATTATTAGAATAATGATTTGTCTGCATAACTGCAATAATGATGTGTCTGCATAATTGCTAGAACAATGATGTAATGCATAATCACTGGGAAAATTCACTGGGAAAGTTCTCTGTCAGTAATATGTGGCAACCTAATGCGCTCTGCACATGGATACTTTGTATGTAGCAAAACCTTCNTGATACAAGTGTTTCAACCCTGTTCCATTGCCTATCTATACAATGTAACTAATTCAAACCAAAAGTTGTGTATGTCATCACTTTAGCAAGGTTAAATATGGCTGTGCTTTAGCTATATATCTTTAGACATATACCTTAAAATACTGGCTCTAAATAGTTTTTTATAAAATATAAGCTAATCTAAGTTAACAGCCGCAGTGATTCACTTAACAATTGTGGCAAGAAAGGTCATAAAATGGGGCAAAATTCACTTAACAACTGTCCTATTTAGCAACTGAAATGCTGGGTTCAAATCCGGTAGTAAGTCGAGGACTACCTGTGTGAGACTAGGCCGAAGCCACCATATCTAAAAGGGGTGAAGAAGGTACATAAGCAGGGCAGACAAAAGCCAGGAAAAGTGGACTTCTGGTTTTGCGCCCGTAGCGCATGGTCACGGGAGAGCAGAGATCCTCTCCCCACGGCTAGTTTCTCCCTGCCAGGAGAACCCTAGATGGGTCCGAAGTTGCCCCGAAGAGGTGACTGTGAAGGAGGGGCGCCCCATTGATCCCGAAGCAACAGTGGTTGCTTCGTTTCATCCAGGAGAAGCCCTCCGACCCGACAGGAGAAAGGCTAGTGTGAGATCAGCATCTAGCCCCGTAGTGGCAAACCTATGGCATGCGTGCCACAGGCAGCATGCAGAGCCCTCTCTGTGGGCATGTGTGCCGTCGCCCCAATCCTAGGCCTTCAGTCCCCTCCATGAGCAACCTGCATCAAAATCTCCCCAGGCAAGTGGCTTTTTAAGCTGGGTTTTATAACCCAGACAGGGCTAAGGTGCGTTGGGTGTGCGAGGGGAACAGGCTCCATGTATGGGCCAAGGGCAAGATCTGCGAGGGGGCCAAGGAGATGATCAGCAGCAACCTGCTCTCCAACCACAAGCAAAAATAGATGGGATGGAGTAGGTGCATCCGGCAGTCTGCATCATGCGCTTCCCCCCTCCCCTACTCCACCTGCTGCTGGAGGGCTGGCCCGGTATTCGCAGTGGGCTGCAGAGTCCCAGAGTGCGTCAGTCGAGGAGCTGGCAGGCTGTGGCTGCTGACGGACACAGTTGGCCCCCATGCACTCGCTGTGTGTGTGGGCCAATGGTGGCAGGCAGCAGCTGCCCCGGCCCCTGCCTCACCTTGCCCTGCCTTTCGGCAATGGCATCCCTGCCCTGCTCCTGCCTCGCCTCACCCTGCAGGATGAGCCATCCACCATCCCACCTGCCAGAAACCCCCTGGATCTCCCCCAAACCTGCCCAGCCGTCACAGGCGTCCCTCCCCACGAACATCATCAAGGTGGCCATGCCCACCCCGGCCATACCCACCCAGTCTGCCATGACCACTGCAGCTATGCCCACCCAGTGAGCCACGCCCACCCAGCACATGACAATAAATAAGTGGGGTTTGGGTTGCAGTTTGGGCACTCGGGTCTCTAAAAGGTTCGCATCACTGGCTTAGATGCTTTGCAGTATTCCAGAGAGCTGCTGTTAGCATTCAATGTCACCATATCAGAGTTTAGTTTCACTCCCCTTATTATTTATTGGTATGTATGTATGTATTTATTTATCAATTTATTTTATATCTTGCCCTTTTTTTACTAATATCTCAAGGCAACAAACATATCCAACACACTTTCCTTCTTCTATTTACCCAGCAACAACAACCCTGTGAGGTGGGTTGGACTGAAAGAGAATGACTGGCCCAAAGTCACCCAGCTGCTTTTCATGGCTAAGGCAGGACTTGAACTCAGTTTTCCTCTTCCTAGCCTGGCACCTTAACCATTAGACCAGGGGTCGGCAACCTTAAACACTCAAAGAGCCACTTGGACCTGTTTCCCAGAGAAAAGAAAACATTGGGAGCCGCAAAATTTGCACGCACACACGCGAGAGGGGGGAGCTTGATTGAAGAGTTTAATTAAAAAGAAATAGAGGCTGCTGTGCATGAATTCTCTCTCTCCCTCCCTCCCTCTTTCTCTCCCTGTCTCCCTCCCTCTCTTCCCCCCCTTCCTCTCTCCAATCTTCTGCTCACCTGGCAAGCTGGCTTCACGCTGTTCTCTGACAAGCTGACACACATTGTTATTGGGCTGGCTCTCCTGCCCTTTGTCTGCCAGTCCTCTTCCCCCACTCAGTGTGTGTGTGTGTGTGTGTGTGTGTGTGTGAGAGAGAGAGAGAGAGAGAGAGAGAGAGAGAGAGAGAGAGAGAGAGAGAGAGAGAGAGAGAAGTAATCTTCTCTCTGTTGCTTCCTGCTTCCTGCGGAGACTCAGCAAAGGCAGGAGTCCTGCCCAATAAGCTTGTCAGCTTGTCAGAGAACAGCATGAGGCAGAAGATCGGAGAGAGAGAGAGAGGGGGAGAGAGAGAGAG